GATAGTTACAAATACCTCATTTCCTTATAGAAATACTATTTCAAAAGCCATAACACATTTAAATGAAAAGGGTGAAATCAATGCCATCTATTATTTAAAATAAATAAAACGTAAATAATTTATAAAAATAAAATAAATTGATAAATAATAATGACATTAATATAAAAAAAAGTCAATAAATAAATAAAGCATAAAAAGTCATTTACTCACTTTCGTTTATGAGGCATTAAATTACATCACTTGGCATCCTCCATATTTTAGTCATTAGAATAGATTTGACCGTTCTGAAATTTAAAGATTTTTAAAACCTAACGACATTTTTTACTTCTGTTTATAAACACATGTTGCAAAATAAAATCCTTACATCATTACGTTGTTGTTATTGGCTCATTCTGTTTAGACCCCGAGAAAGATTACCGACAAAACCAGTCTCTGCAGTTATAAAATATGTCCTAGGTATGACGATAAACTACATCTGGCAGCAAGGCCTCTGATCGAGAGATTGGAGTTTTTAAGGAGCGTGAAACCTCATTTGTTGTTGGTCTAAGATCCACCCAGACTCGAGGTGGTAGCACTTGTTATGTTCACAGCTATGGGAAAATAGTGAAACCCCACAAAAAAAGAAAAGAAAATATAAAATATATTTTATAGTAAAAATACCAGCCATACATTTTTATGAAAAAAATAACAACTAATTAACAATACTTATTTATAATAAAATTAGCAACAATAGGTTTTTTCTGTAATTGAAGGCATACAAATGCATTCAAATATATTTATTTGAAGTTATAAAATTGTTCAAATTATTTACATTTCGGCATTAAATAACCCGTAGAGGTTGATATGCCACTAAACAAAATCAACCAACCTACAAGAAATATTTTTTTATGACTTTAAGCTATATAATATCCGACAATTTCTTAAATCAAGCTGTATTCCAAAATATAACCTCAACAAAACTACAGTATAAAACACATATCAACGCCTATAATAATTATGCCCAAACAAACATGTATATGTACAAAAGTTGAGTATCATCTACCATGTATTCAGTTGTGAAAGCAGAATAACATATTTTTATTACTAAAAAAAGTAGAAAATTAAATGTGGCCATTAAATGACCCATAAGTTGTTGATATGCCGTTAAACAAATCAATCAATCACTCAATCTAAACCAGAAACTGTGATCTGGAACTGAAAGGAAGCAATGATGGCATACGCCATGAATCCATTATAAAAATACATGATGTGGAATTAATAAATACTAAACACTTCAAATACCTCTGTGTGGAGATTAGTTGCAACAGATTTAGTATAGAAGATGAGGACATTGAACATACACTAGACTCCGATAGACAATGCTACAAACCCAAAATATAAAACTAAGAACGTGGGTAAGGTTTTTAATAACCTCGTCAGATTTAGACTCTATGGATGTGTCATGAATGGTGCTATACAAAAGTGTTCTCAGGTCAATGGTTAAACACAGCTTCGAGCGAATGAGGCCTGTAAGTTCTAACTATGGCCCGCCTTCTTTAAACCGTGTGGGCTGATGCTACAGTATCTTTATTATGGCGCCAAACTCGTTCCAAAATATCTAAACTGTCCACTGTATACGACAGATTTCGAATGTTTTTGAGCCAGTGAAGGTTATAGGTCTTGATTTAGACCACACTTCATTGAACCTCGTGGACCGGCGCTACAGAATCACAAACAAAGGAGTGTTCCAAATAACACAAACCATATCACTTGAGGATGTTCAAAAGCAGCCGCGACTAAAATCGATATCACATAGATCTCGAAGAGGAAATAATGACATAATCAATATATTGGCATTCCACACAACTTCAAGTAAAAGGCTAGAAAGGAAACTCCCATCAACACTGGAAAGACCAATTAAAGTTACTGAAATTGAGAAACCTAATTTTCTGATTTTTTTTTTAAAAGAAACATTATATGCAGCAGACTGCCGCTGATTGTGTTATAATTTTGAGTGGCGCCTTCTGTAGCATGTCCGTCATGCGTAGCCTTCTTCATCCGCTAGTTGAAGCATTGAGATCTGTTGTAATCGTCATCCGCTTGTTCTACAGATGGGGTCTTTGGGGTTGCTCGCGTTTAGTCTGTGCCCTCGTCTTTGGCCTTGCCGTTAAGCTTGGTCCTACCAGGAGATTAGAACTCCTGACGATATCTGTCTCATGGTCATTGAACCACGGAAGTCTCTGCACAAAGACAACGATCGACCATCAGAGGTAGCACATAAAGCATAAACACATACATATTTTACACTAGATATCGAAGCAAACAGTACCACATTATACTTTAGAAACCAAACAATAAATAAGAAAATAATTTTAAAAACATATAAAATCATCCAATATATGAGAACATTTTTATTATTGTTGTTGTTAAAATATTTTAAAAGATAAATAATAGAAGAAAAAATTGACTATTCTGATCCCAACCAATAGTAAAAAAAGTAAACAAAACAAAATATGTTACGACTCGAAACGCTTTTCTTAAAAATTTGAAAATACGTCCTCATCTATGAAAAAAAATGTTACGTTACTACAATCAATAATTAAGAAAAGGATAAAAGAATAAAATTATCGCCAAATGTTAGAAATTTTTGGAAAATAGGAAAGAAATCGACGATACTGAAACAATAGTCAGAGATAAACAAAACAAACATCACGACTCGAAATACTTTTCCTACAATTTCGAAAATTACGTTCTCTTTCATTAAAAGAGAAATTTTACGCTCCAATATTATAAACAGAGTCGAATTATTCATGCCAATGTAGATGTAATTTAACAAACCAAATTTATTAAATTTCTTAATATAATAATTCTTAATGATAATAAACATTCGGAATAAAGTAAACTTGCTAAAACACTTTTAAAAGAAATAAAACAATTAATGTATACCTCACTTATCGTAAAAAAAATAAACATATATATATATTTTATAATACAACAGAAACTTTAATATAATAAACAACGAAAATCATAAGAATAAATGGATAATTAAAATAATCAAAACTTCACTTTTAAAATACGACATCGCTTTTGTTGAGCAATGAAAAAACATGTCCGTTCACTCCGACATCAGCGTTTTACCTTAGGAATGACAAACATAGTAAAAAGATTTCTAGATATCAGGCATTTTTTTTATTATGAAATACAAGTAGATATAACGCAGTGTCATGATACATATGCCGGGCGACCAAAATATGATTTACTAGGGAATTGCATCGAAGTTCAAGAGGAAAGGTTATTGTCAGTGGTCAGGAATTACTGCAGTAGTTACTGCCAGAATAGATATATTATTCGTGTAATGTAAACGTATTTCCAATGATTTTAATAAAGAATTGTATCAAAAGACAGGAAGATAAGTATTGTCAGTGGTCAGGAATTAATTGAAAAAAAAGGCTGTTATATTTGTAACGAATGATTCTATTCGACTTGCAAGATTCGAGCATTTAATTTCTACAGAATTACACTCGCTGATGTGGAATATAAGTATTATTATTATCTAGCTCATGTGACTATCACTTTGCTGAAGGCATGATGATCAAATTTAAATTCTAAAATGTTGATCCATTTAAAATACTACATTTATTAGAAAATATATTCAATTTAAATAGAGAAGGCATCATAAACCTGACGTAAAGCTAGTTTATACGGTTTCACGATTACTCAAGAATTTTTGCCAGAAAGGAAAATTAGCTCTCATGACACAGGTATCCATGACAGTTACGTTTAAATTGTGTTTCTAGGTATGATTCGGTGTGCGCAGGTATATTTTAATTCAAGAAAAGACAGAGAAATATTGCTGTAAAATTTAAAAATAACATTTAAAAATACTTCTATTACCGAATAATTTCCGAAAAACACAGAAATATTTTATATCTTAAGTAAGGTTTTTTTATCTCCAATTTCGTGATTTTCTTGTTCAGCCTACGATGGAGGTTAACCAGACTAAGTTGGAAAGCAATGTCTTATTTCATCAATTCCCAACTTGGTATTTATACTGATGACAATACTATTTACTCGTGTCTTAGTAGTAAGCCTGATAGGTCCGACCAAGTAAAACCGGCATCTGATGTCGAAAAGGAACTCAAATCAATTGGTAACTGGGATAAAAACAGCATCTCAGTTATAACGACTCCAAAACGAAACTGCTATTGTTCAGCCATCTTGGGGAAATCTTTTTGCCTTCCCTCATCATGGCTGATGCTAAACTCCAATGGCGCTTTCTTGACCTGACATTTTCCACTGACATAAATTGAATATATTGCTAGGTTTGCTGCTAAGAAAGTTTGTTCACAGTGACGTGCCAAACAATTCTTCTCGGCATAATTCTTCTTTCATCTTTATAAATCAACAATTCGTCTGTGCATTGCATATTTCTGTCATATCTTGTCTGGTTCTCCTGATACATATGTGAAGATTGTTAACAAATTCCAAAGAACAGTCTGTAATGTTATCGGTCCTGATCTGGCATTTCGACTTCAGTCACTTTTTAACCGCCATGATGTGGCTTCCCTCTGCATTTTCTATAAATATTTTCATAACAATTGTTCTAATGAGCGTTCATCCCTGGAACATTTACTCTATAAATTTAAGCGTATTGCTAGATTAACAACTAGGTCGCATCTTTTTACTGCTGGAATTGCTAAATGTAACCGAAAGTTCTACTCTAATAGTTTCTTCACTCATACTTCTCTCTTCTGGTTTAATAATTCCCGGCCATCTGCAATCTTAAAAAATGTAAATGCCACATCAATCGCCATATTCTGTCTTCCTGAAATTGTTCTTTTATTGTCTTTTCTTCTCACTATTGTCTTTTTACTTTCTTTCACTCGCAGTAACCTTTTATTTCTTAGTGGCATTATCACCTTGCTTGGAGTGAAACGATAAAAAAACAGTCAAATTGTGATTGTACTTCTACATACATTAAATAGGGAAAGGATATATACGTCATTCATGAACTAGCTAACAGATAGATAGATAGATAGATAGATAGATAGATAGATAGATAGATATACGTGCATGCAAAGTCACATATGTATGTATTTAACCAGAGATTTGCAGATTCGTTGGTGCATTGAAGGATTTCCTCCTCCTGGTTAGTCCTTTCTTCTTGCTTTCCTTCACTGTGTTGTCTTGGAGGTTCAGTACATTTCTTTATGTGTCTACCATCAATACAATGTCATCTGCGTATCTTACGAAGATTGTTAACAGTGACCTGTGACTAGCTTTTCATTACCGCAAAATCGTATTTCAGAAAAGCTTAATTGAACGAAATGTCTTCTTAAGAAAATGATAAAAAATAAACTTTTGTATTCCGACCAGTATATCAGAAGTTAAAAAAAGATGTGAACAAATGAAATGAGTCGAATTTTTAACAGATATTCATCAAATATGTAAGTGCTCAGTTATATAACGGAACTGTTAAACGGAAGGTGTTAAAAACATATGCGCCATTTTTATAAAATAGTATATATCAGGCTTTACTGACTTTTTCTTTTGATTGGTTATGAAGCAAGTGTCATTAATTCTATTATGAACACAATTAAAATTTCTCGAATTCAGTTATTATACCGAAGAGGCGAAACTCCTCAGTCAAATGCGATATATGATTTAGCCTCGTCAAACCACACAGAGGAGAGGCACTTGTACGCTGACGTAACATTTCCTTTCAATAAACGCTTACCACTTTCACCAACCTGTGACAAAGCGGGTCATATTTACAACACTCTTGGCGCCCACATCATAAAGCACTTTCAATAAAACAAAAGACCAAATGTTTGGGGGATTTCAACCGGCGGTCTGTTGATGCAGGCTTTGCAATGGACACTACTCCCTCTGGGATTATCCACATTGAACGTCGGACTATTGTTTTGCGTTTTGAATAGTACTTGGATCGGGTAAGGTTCGTGTCCACGAGATGCATTCACATTCGAAGGAGTTAAGTGTTTTCTGTTTACCGGCAATTTGTCGCTAGCCGCAACCCTAGATTCGCGGAAGAAACACCATAGGAAAATTCATTTATTTTTGTTTAGATTATGTAACTAGCGACAAAGATAAATAAATATATATACGTACATAATTTCTTTTTATAATAAAGTCTATCTAGTTCGAGGCTCATGAGTAACTCTAGGTAGAATATTACTGTTAAAATGTTTATTATGAATTAGGTGTAATATGAGCGAAAATGGAGGTAGTAGGAAGTACAGTTTATGAGGATAAGGAGGACAGATAACGATTGATTTGAAGAGGTCAAGATTGTAATGGGAAGCATCCACACGAGAGTGTGTCCCCAAAATAACAGTTATTAGGGAAAAAAAGGTGATTAAAACTTTCTCTATATATTTGGAATAAGGGGGAAACTGAGGTGATTTGACTCTGTGGAAGTTACATGATCTGCTCTAGTACTAAATGTCTGTAATGTTTGCATGGAAATAGAATTGAATAGAGACAGGCTTACCACATTGCATATATGTGGGAAAGAAGCTACAAGGTGAAGAATAGTTGCTAGCACACACATATATTTTGGCCTGCTTCGTGGTTGAGATAGCTGCGTTTTCCTAAATGTAACAGAATTCAGTCTTAGATTTGCAGCAAGGTCACTTTGCAGTTGAAATGGCTAAATCTAACCGTAAGTTCTATACAAATAGTTCCTTCTATCGCACTTATCACTTGTGAAAGTCTCTTCCGGGTTCAGTCTTAAAAAATGTTAATGCTGTATCAATCGTTATCTTCTTAATTCCTGTTCTTTCATTGCTCTCTCTCTCTCTCTCTCTCTCTCTCTCTCTCTCTCTCTCTCGTTAATAACGTTTTCTTTTCCTACTATGCTTTTACACTCAATAAGCAAGACAATAAATCCACTAAAGTGCAAGGGGCTTGCACCTTAGTGGGTTTATTGCCTTACTTGTAGTGAAATGATTTAAAAAATCGAGCAGTAAGAATAAATGCAGATTTTCAAAATCGGCAACATCATTAACTTATCAGGCGCAACACAATATTAACTTCATTTGGCTTTTGCGTTACTAGATTGAAATGAGTAACCACTAATAGATCCCGCCGAAATACATACGTATATTTATAGGTACCTCCACGAAAACGATTAAAAATCAACATACCGTGATGAAAACAGTTTTATCGTCAAAATCGTTATGTTATTATTATGAGGAAGGAACATTTTATTTTCTGATTATTCAATTAATTCGTTTACTACTTTTTAGAACATTTGAAATTTTGATTAAAAAAATTGTTTTTCTTGCGTCATCGGTTGAACTAACTTTTAGCATAGTAAATTTGAGCCTCTATTTGTGGTAATAGACACATTGATTTGGAAATTCTTGCAGAAATAAAATCAGTGTCGGATTTTAATGAAATTTTCAGAACTTATTCAAAATCGAATGAAATTATTTTTGAAGTTTTTTTCTATTAGAAAATCTTGGTAAAAATATCATTAATATCGATTAACACATCAGAAAAATGTTTTTATGCGATAAGTAATATTTGTTTCAAATCAGATTAATTTAACTT